TGATAATTTTAATTGATTTTAATTGTATGACGTATGATAAAAATTAATTGAAATTGATTTTTCGGTAGGCCTGCAAAAATTTAAAAAATAAAACAAAAGAAGAGTTATGTTAAATGAAAAATCAAATTGGTGTAGCCATAACTTTTACATTAATTAATATAGTAACATATGATTATTGATCCATATTACAAAAAAAGTTCTGGACAATGTTATTTATATAACAAAAATTGTATACGTATTAGAAATTTACATGTAGATTTCGACTCTATATATTTCTATATCTCTATATATATATAAAAGACATATGCATTATAAGGTAGAGGAAGGTATTCTGGTGGATTTAAAATTTATCAAGATTTGCTTATAATTAAACTTTATTAAAATACTGCGAATTACAAATTTTACTTTGATATATTATAATTATTCGTTTATTAAATTATACAATCAAATAAAAAAAGCATGTTGACTTGTGTTTGCCGATTTTTATTACTTCAACGGTTGGGAGCATAAAGTGGCAGATCGACAGATTAACATAATATTAACTATAAATAGGGGTCCTTAAGCCGGGTTAAAAAAAGTTATGTTTTTGATATTTTAGGAGTTACCTTTTTGATACAGTTAAGGTGAGTAGGTTATTTATATATCAGAATACAATTTATGCAGCATGTAGATTATTATATAAAATCTGCCCTACTTTAAGGGACCCCCTATAAATGGCATTATAACAATCATTTGCTACATATATGTATCGCTCGCTCCAGAGTTTTGTACAATTTTTTACAATCTATTAGTCAGAATCGAATGTCTTTTATATTATTCGATTCGTTTTGATGAGACAAATCGAGTGGTATAAGAATCATTAGATTCCAGTTGATAAACTAAGGTTTAACTTCAATAATATGTTATCCGCCACATTATCCACCCCGCAGAATACTCCCCCTCTACCTTATATGTTACTTTTCTACAATAATTTAACATTATAAATGTCAGCACATTCAATATTACTAAATTTTCATTTAAATACTTGCCCAATATGTTTAGTGCTATAGTGTGTTTAGTCTGTGCGAAAACATGTATATTTCAAATTACAATGTGATCTATATATATAACATAACATAAATTGTAATTTATTGTTATGTATCGATCATTATAAAACAGCTATAAATTAAATTAGTAAATGCTTTATTGTTTTTATGTCATATTAATATAGAGTTTCAAATTATATTAAACCGCTATGGTAGAACCAGTTTTTAACTAATTTTTGAGAGTGAACTAGTTTTTAACTAATCTGGGACCAGACTTTTTAGAGACTAGATCGGAACCGGCCCAAACACACATAAATTAAATAATCTTATTTAATCCAATTGGAAGATAATACTTAACCGTCATAGTATACAATTAATTAATAATGAAATTCGTAATATCGATATGGACTACGTACTACTCAAAATTATAACTTACTTTAGACAATTCAAGCTTCTAGTTTTATATATAAATAAAAATTTGATTATAATTTATTTAAAATAATTTTATTATTATTAATATAATGATTAATATTACAATTTTAAAAATTAGATTAAATTATAGTAAATTAATATTAATACATAAATATATAATAAAAATTATAATTTTTATTAACAAACAAATTGTATATATATATTATATACACCTGTATACACAAAAATTGCTACAAGTAACAAATCAAAGATATATAATATATACAATTAAAATTTATGTTGTTCAACTACATTAGCATCAAGAACATCTCTATTTACATTATTAAAAACACTCATATTACTGTTGATATTATTACTCAGATTATAGAATTTCTTTAATTGCTCTCAAAAAATCAACAGACCATAAAGATAATTTAGTCAAAAATTGGTCAGAATTTGACTGGAGTGGTAACTTAATATTAAACAATGGCAAATCTAACCAATTTCATATGAGGTATCACAATAGATAATTTTTAAAAAAGTTCCTAATTTAAAAGTAAGTAAATTTAATTTAAAAACATTTCCAAACTACTTAAACAATTAAACTATACCATATCGTAAAGAAGTATTCCAAATCTAGAAATACATTTCGCCGATTCAATTAAATCTTCATTTATAGTTAAAAGTGGTCTTTTAAAAGTTTACCTGAGAATTCAATACAACAAAAAATCATATCACTTTTCTTTGATCACCTTCTGATTTAAAATTTGTGGATAAAAATAGGGGCCCCACAGCTTCACCGTATAAAAATTCAACAATTTTAAAGGTTGCAACCATTGGGTTTGTTCCTGGATTGAAATTTTCCTGGTATGTTTTTTCGCACTTTTTGACATATTAAGAAACATTCATCATAATATAGTAATAGTGTAATACATAATATTATACATAACTTCATGCACATATGTATTCTCTAGAACTTCATTATCACCTTGTTTGTTATCAACAACTTCGACTCGCAAATTTTTTTTCTATCAAAAAGGGTTTAATATAATTAATATTGTTTTTATTAAATGTGACAGCTGAAGCTAAGATCAAGTACAAGTGAATTTTAGTAGGTATTATAGATTTAAATGGAGGCCCCAATCTACAGTCGTCACATTAATAAAAAAGTAAAATTATATATACTTACAACTGTAAATACATATCCAGCATATAAGTGCATTCTTCATGATCTAATGACTCTGAGATTAAAAATTTCTGTGGCTCCTCTGTCTTTACAAGAGCGGCTACCCATGTCTTTATTTGTTTATCTATCATTTTCCAGGAAACTATTTTATCACAATACATCATCTCTTTTAACTCATCAGATGAGAACATCATCAACATTATTTCATCAACTACATCCAGACCAATGATACCAGAGATAAAAGGATGATTAAATACTAAGTTATCCATATAATCTATATTACTTTTGAAGAAATCAATACTTTTTTTTTTATCA